GCATCGCTACTAGTAACAAGTGCCTTACTAGTAGTAACAAGAAGCTATTAGAAACCAGTGCCACGCTACTAGTAACAAAGGGCATCGCTACTAGGGGCAAAAGAACGGGGGTCCTGGCCTTAGGATCGATCGGACGCTACGAACGGTTCATAGGTTGGAGGCCGCTACGATTGGAGGGTCGAGGAAGAAATTGCGGCTGAGCTCCTAGTAGCCCTTTGCTCCTAGCGTCCTTGCTCCTAGCGATGCCCTTTCCTCCTAGTAGCGTCCTCCTAGTAGGTACCGCTATAGCGGATAGGTTGCGTGATGCGCGGTGTTGGGCAGCCAGGCAGTTGCAATCGTGTCTCTCGATTGATTGATTGAGTGCAACACGATCAAATCACGCTTGCCCCGTTGTCGCGCTGCGATGCCGTTGCGGTTGGTGCGGAATGTCGAGCATGCAGTAACAAGAAGCTAGTAGAAACAAGTGCCACGCTACTAGGAACAGGTGCCCTACTAGTAGTAACAAGAAGCTACTAGTAGCATGCACACGCTCTAAAGCGGTCAGAACAAAGACTGCCTGGACCAAGTGCAGAATTCCCCCATGCTCGCCGCACCCTTCAGTGCTTCCAAAACAAACAGCTCACGCCCACCGTGCACACGTGGTCAAACAGGCTTTCGCCCTGCTGCTAATAGCAATGGCCTCCAACCTGGTAGCGATGGCCTCCAGCCTAACAAGAGTCTTGGACTGGCCGAGGTGCTAATTTATCCTCCCAATCACGACGCTCCTTTTCGATTTCTTCGCTGCCCATTGATTGGAGTTGCGCCTCATCAAACGATTGCGCGAGGATGATGACGCGAAAGCTGGGAAACACCAAGGCAAGCGTCCAAGAATGACATCCTAATCCTGATGATGAAAAAGGACCAAATAACATCGGTCGACAAAAAGCCTGCAGCTTGGCATTCTCCTCTTGCAACTGTCGGATGAGTTCCGCCGTCGGGTCCAACTGCTTCTTAACCTCAGGTGATTTTTTTTCCTAGTAGCGAATCTTGTTCCTGGTAGTAAGGCCAGGAGCCCCTAGTAGCTTCTTGTTCCTAGTAGCGATGCACCTGTTACTAGTAGCTTCTTGTTACTAGTAGCTTAATTAGTTCTTTTCCGGATTGGCATTGCCATTGCACACATTCGCGCACCGATCAACGCTTCGACAAAATAGCGCCTTCACGGGCATCTTCTTGGCATTGTCGGCAAAGCGTAGCCTGCAAGGACAATGTCAACTGAGTCGACAAATCACAAGAGTCGTGTCCAGTCCACACCAGTGTCAGTCACCATCGCTAGTTTGGAGGCCATCACTCTTAGGTTGGAGGCCATTGCTTTTAGGTGGCCAAGAGTCGTGTCCACACCAGTCACTGTCACCATGTCGTGGACGCATCCGCGCCAAGGAGCGTGGACACCGTGTCATTATAATTGATGTCGGCGGGTGAGAGCGCGGCGATCATCACCTCAACTCAAAGGAAAACTAGGAGCAATGTTCGCTACTAGGAGCAAAGGGCATCGCTACGACGCTACTAGGAGCTCCTGGCCTTCCTACTAGGAGCAAGCACGCTACTAGGGGCCTAAATGAATAGCACCTTGCTCCCTTCTTCCCTTCCTTAGCTATACTTCCCCCTTGCTAGTGGGTTGGAAGCCATCGCTAGTGGGTTGGAGGCCATCGCTAGTAGGTGGGAGGCCATTGCTAGTGGGTTGGAGGCCATCGCTAGTAGGTGGGAGGCCATTGCTAGTAGGTTGATTTCGCAAGTCTTTTTTCCTTTTCAGTTCTGGGGCCGTGGACGGTGACGGCATTTCCGCCCAAGCTCTCGGAGAGCAACTTGGTGAGTTTGTCCGGATGGTTCACCTGACGAGATCTCGTCATGTCGCTTCTGGACCAGAAATAGGATCTTTCTCTTTTTCTGCTTGTGGCAATCCGAGAAGCTCCAATTATTGTAATTTCAAGGTCTGGCAAGAGAAAAACATGCCCCAAAATCGTGCGGCACCATGGGTCATCACATGTCACCTTCATCGGCCATGTCATAGAACGCTCGTGAGATCAACAAAAAATAACGACATACTAGTAGCGCAGCTTCTTTCTACTAGGATGCAAAAGGAAAGGTCTAAAGTTTAACTTCCCTAAACATTGGAAAGGCAGAGCGAGGATTTGTCAACAAAGCTTTTATTGCGACCTTGCTCCTAGTTAGCGTGAGTAGTAAGTTTCCTGTTAGAGTACGTATTGCTATACAACATATATCTAAGTATTGTTACTACTTGCTACTATTTGCAACTTAGGAGCAAGGGCGCTACTAGGGGCTCCTGGCATCGCTACTAGGAGCATTCGCACTGGTAGCAAGAAGGCTATTAGGAGTGCTATTAGGTTGGAGGCCATCGCTGCATCCAAAAGCGTCTCATTGCATTCCTCCGCTACCTCTCCCTACCTCTCGGTACCCAACTGCCTACCTGATGGCCTACTCGGTGTCATCCGGTGCCGGCACTCCAAGAAAGGGAGAAAACGGTTCTCGAATGGACTACACAAAGCGAATGGGTAGGGAGGAAAAAGGAAGCTTCTTGCAGCTTCTTGCTTCTAGTAGCGATGCCCTTTGTTACTAGCAGCTTCTTGTTCCTAGTAGCAAGGCCAGGAGCTAGTAGCGATGCCCATGATGAGAATCTGGCAATTCGGCAAAACTGTTTCAGACTAGGAGCAAGGACGCTACTAGTAGCTCCTGGCATTACTACTCGTAACAAGAAGCTACTAGGAGCAAGAGCGTAAAGGATATGTTTAAAAAGCTACTAGTAACAAGTGCATCGCTTCTAGTAACAAGTGCCTTACTAGTAGTAACAAGAAGCTAGTAGCTAGTAGTAACAGGTGCCTTACTAATAGTAACAATGTTTGCTAGTAGAAACAAGATATCACTTCTCCCAAGTGGCCCGCTCACCCTTGCAAAGCTGGACAAGACCTTGGCACCATCAGGTCGCGGCAAAAAGCCTTTTTGAAGGCAGTCATCGAAAACTGTGAAAGTTGGGTTTTGGGGTTTCATTAAAAGCATCAAAAAAAACAGTAACTCCTTTAACTAATTTCATTTAAAAAAAAAGAATGTGAGTTACCAGAAGCATGGCCTCAACAGACTAGCAATAGCCTCCCACCTAAGAGCGATGGCCTCCAACCTACTAGGAACGCAGTTGTCACCGAAAACTGTTCTGTGTTCTCAATTCAAGCTGGGTTTGGGAGTCAAGTTGTGCCACAACAAGCACTGACATTGGCCCTGACACGGTGTTTTGGGCTCATTGACTCAACTGCCAGATTCGTCTTTTGTGTTGCGCAGCGTCTCACCGGAATAACGACCGCCTCCAAACTCATTAAGCTGAATATTAAACACAAGCCAATCTTCTTTGGAGTTACTAATAGCAATGACCACCAACCTACTATGTAACTACTAGTGATGGCCTCCCACCCAATAGCGATGGCCTCCAACCTACATAATGAGAAAGGAAAAGGCTACAGCTACAACGATGCACGTCCGCTGACACTTAACAGCTGTTGCCAAGATGCATTGCCCCAAGGCAGAGAGCGACTGATTGATTGCAATGCCTTCCTCCAATCCAACACCCGTCAACCCTGGCGCAAATGCAATCTGTCTTTGAAGTGATCCTCTGTATCGTGCTAAACCTGGTGCACAGCAAGGCAAGTTTTAAAAGAATGCAATCTGCATGTTGGAGGCCATCGCCAATGGGTTGGTTGCAGGCCATGGCTGCCAGAAGAAAGAAGCTACTAGGAGCAAAGGGCATCGATACTAGGAGCAAGGACGCTACGAATAGCTTTTGGCATTACCAGTAGCAAGAAGCTACTAGTAACTGAATTCTGAAGTGTCATCTGCCTGTGTCATGAGCTCGCTCACTACCGGCGAGGTCCACGAGGCAGAGCTTGGATCGAAATTCCTCAACCCAACCGCCACGTTTGACCTCGCAGCTCCAAGCGTGGATCCCTACAGAAAGCTAGTCATGGCCTCCAACCTGCTAGCTGTTCAACTCCTGTTGTTTCCAAGTGGTGTTTTTTGTAAGGAAGACTAATCTAGCACCTTCAGCAGCTTGGTGAGCGACAGCAACGAACAAATGCAGCATACTAGCGATATCTAGTGATAGCAATGAAGAGCATCACAACACAAAGTCAAAAATACTCTCTCTCTCTCTTGTTTGTCTCCCTCTCTGGTCTAGAGTCTAACAGTAATGCGTTCACAATACATGTGTCGTTTAGACGAAAGCTGAAAAGCACGAAGTCCGGAGCCAAAAGGTTGGAGGCCATTGAGGTGGTAATAACAATGTTTGCTATTTTAAAAAAGTGCCTTACTGGTAGTAACAATGTTTGCTATTAATTTAGATCTAATAGCAAACATTGTTACTACCAGTAAGGCACTTGTTACTACTAGCGAGGCACTTGTTACTAGTAGTCTCATAGGCCCGTGCTATTGCTATTAGGTTGCATGCAAGAAACTTCCTTTCGGAAGCGGAGAATGAAGAGCGTATGGCCACGAGAGGACTCGGGATTCATGCCTGTGGCACCTCAGCAGTCGTGGGTGGAAAACCCGTCCAAAAGAAAGTAGTATCGATGGCCTCCAACCTAGAAGCGTCCTTGCTGCTAGTAGCGATGCCCTTTGCTCCTAGTAGCGTCCGTTGGTCCTAGTAGTAAGGCCAGGAGCCCCTAGTAGCGTCCTTGCTCCTAATAGCGATGGCCTCCAACCTAATAGCGGCCTGTCTTCAAGAAAGGGTAATGAGTCATGATGACTCCTGTCAGTCAGGACTGGCTGATGCTGCAAAGGCGCAACGAAAGAATGCAACTTTTTCGCCAGGTATCTACTGATTCTACTGTATGCAAACAAGCCCGTGAAACACGACACAAATGTGCAACACAAACACAAGCAAAGCCAAAGTACTCAAATGAATATCTGATGATCACATTTTGTAGTTTTCTTTCATTTTGGGGTTCTGGCATTGATTTCTCTGAAAATGTGATATTTAGGAAACACACCTATGCCATCATACTACGCCATATGGAGTGATGGGGCGTCCACCGAGGTAGACTTGGTCAAATACTGAGATAAATAAAGTTCTTTTTAGGTGTCTGCCGGGGATTGGGCTTCAAAAATCAGCCTGGTGAAGCTGAAGTGTTGGTTTTACGGTGTCCTCGTCATGAGTAGCTTCTTGTTACGAGTAGCGTCCTTTGCTCCTAGTAGTAAGGCCAGGAGCCCCTAGTAGCATCCTTGCTCCTAGTAGTAAGGCACTTGTTTCTACTAGCTTCTTGTTACTACTAGTAAGGCACTTGTTACTACTAGCGATGCACTTGTTCCTAGTAGCATCCTTGCTCCTAGCAGTAAACGTCCTGTCTCGTTGCAGCGCACAAGTTGGAGTGACCCCTTCACATGTTGGAATGGCAAAAGCTGACTGGAGAGTGTACTCTGTGGGGTTGAAACAATCGATATGCCTCCAAGCGCAGAAAGAAAACATCCTCAAAGAACCCCAACAATTGCAAGCTACTAGGGTGGAGGCCATCGCTATTAGTAGCTAGAAGCGACTAGTAACAAGGGCATCTCCTTCTCTCGACCACTGGCCCAAAAGCCGGCCGGCTTACGTCAAGCAAATGCGATGCGAATGGCGTGTCTCGCATCTTACGTCAAGCAACGGATGGAACGGTTGGCATCGCCCATCTTTCTGAAGGACTCGGCCTGGAGAATGTGCAGCGAACCTGCCTATCTTGAGAAAAAGCTCCTAAGCGTCCTTGCTCCTAGTAGCGATGCCCTTTGTTACTAGTAGCGTCCTTTGCTAGTTTTAAGGCCAGGAGCCACTAGTAGCGATGCCCTAGTCTAGTAGCTCCTAGTAGCGTCTCTTGCTTGGTGGATCGCATCAGCATTTGGTCTAAGTCTAGATCCGAACGCCGCGCCGCGACCGCCCACACCGCCCAACACAGCGCGCTTTTGCAACGCGCCATGCAGCGAACGCACGGAGTCCGTTTGAAGAATTGAGAGGATCTTCAAGCTCCGTGCGAAACGGGCGCCCATCTCACAGGCTGACACTGCGACACCAAAAGCAATGACGTCAAGCTGCAAACGCGAGTGCTTTTGGTCCTCAGTGGCAAAGGACGCTATTAGGTGGAGGCCATCGCAAGTAGGAACAAAAAGCTACTAGGTTGGAGGCTATTGCTAATATTGCTAGTAATAAGAAGAAGCTACTAGTAGCAAAGACAAGATTCGTCCATTAAATTCAGTGCTTTTTGCCACTGACCACCGCCAACAGCAGCACTCAAAGCTGCACAAAAAGCGATCAGGTTCACTTCTAGCCTATCACGCAGAAGTGATTGACACAGATTGCCAGAAGCTAGTAGTAACAAGTGCCACGCTAGTAGTAACAAGTGCCTTACTACTAGGAGCAAGAAGCTAGTAGTAACAATTGTTTGCAACCAGTATGGACTGAACAAACAAATACCTCCAACACTGGACAAAGGACGATGGCCTTAAAAGGCATGTGAAAATTCTGAAAGGGCATATGGACGAAACATCTTCATGTTTGTTCATACTTGTTACTAGCTTCTAGCTACTAGTAGTAAAGCCAGGAGCCCCTAGTAGCTTCTTGTTACTAGTAGTAAGGCACTTGTTACTAGAAGCGATGCACTTGTTACTAGTAGCTTCTAGCTACTAGTGGTAATGCCCATGCCTCTGTTTCTTCATGTCGTCCAGTAAGTCCAGAGCTTGGCGCCATGCATTGCCCTTCTCGCAGGCACTCATGGCAGCAGCATAGGAGACCACATCGAAGCGCAAACGTCGAATGGACACTAAAATGTCCAAGGCATGGATCCATTGGGAACCCTTCTCGCAAGCACTCATGACCTAAATTGCTGTCATGTCATGACCTCAATTGTCAGCGATGGCCTCCAACCTAATCATGTCACGATGACCTATATAGGAAAATAATGATCTTCATGTCAACCAGAGAGCCCCAGGATGACTTGCTGATTGTAAGGCTGTGTCTGTATGAACATCCCGGACACCAAAGGGTTCACAAAGAAACAGGAGGTGACACAGTCGTTGTTTGGCTGTTGCCGGCCCAGGATAGACAAATCGGACGCCGCTCCCAATCGGTAAGAAGTTGAGTATGTGACACGAGTTGTTACGCTGCTAGTCAAGCCAGGTCGCCGTGTTGTAGGTGATAAGGTTTGGCCGGTTTCTTTGGTTTTCACAGAGGGCCAAAAGAAGCACTGCCAGTTGCCAGCGGCCTGCTTTCTCACAGGCACTAATAGCTGCACTGTAGCTGACGATGTTTGGCTGCAGCCGGTGGCGTTGCATCACCCACAGCAGCCATAATGCTTGCCTCACAGCAAACGCAAGAAGTATCGACCACAGAAAGAGGGCAGTGAGAGGGAGTCTTAACATATGTTTACCTTGTTTATAAAGCGTCAAGCAGTCAAACAGTGAGACGACACAATGACACACTGGGACCCCCCACACTTTAATAGCAAAGCAGTATCATATTACTACTAGGGGCAAGGACGCTACTAGGGGCTCCTGGCCGTACTACTAGGAGCAAGGAGCTACTAGTAACAAGGGCATCGCTTCTAGGAGCAAGGACGCAGTATCATATACATGGGCCATCTCTAGAAGCAGAAAGGGAGAGCGCTGGGTTGGCGCTAGGTTGAAGGCCACCGCTTCTAGGTTGGAGGCCATCGCTATTAGGAGCAAGGACGCTTCTAGGTTGGAGGCCACTGCGAGTAGGGAAAAAGCTTGATGATGACACAGGCTGGCTACTGCCACTGCCCTCCCCGTTCGCAGGCACTGATGACAGAGGAGTAGGTGACCACATTGGGAACGACGGAGTTCTGTTGAAGTTCCTGGAAGAGCAAGTAAGCTACTAGGAACAAGTGCATCGCTACTAGGAACAAGTGCCTTACTAGTAGTAACAAGAAGCTATTAGTTAATTTATGTTAATTTTAACTTAATTCTAATGGCTTCTTGTAGTAGTAAGGCACTTAGTTGTTACTAGTAGTAACAAGAAGCTACTAGTATCAAGGATGCTATTTCCTGAAAGAGCTTCAGGGCCACATGAAGATGCTCATCACACGCTGAAATGGCCGCGTTGTAAGTGATGATGTCCATCACCGAAGCGCGAACGCAGTGGAAATGGTCACTGTGGAAGCCATTACGGGCTCCTGGCATCGCTACTAGTAACAAGAAGCTACTAGGGCCTAGGGGCTCCTGGCCTTACTACTAGGAGCAAGAACGCTCGCTACTGGCATCGCTACGAACGGAGCAAGGAAGCTACTAGTAACAAGGGCATCCCTTCTAGGAGCAAAGGATGCTACGAACGGAGCAAATCGCACCAAAGCCATCGCTGTTTGGAGGCCTTGGCCTCTCACGTTCCTCACGACCGTGTCGGTCGCGTGTCGGGCATCGGTGAAGGTCTGTAAGGCCTGTCGCCACTGGCCACTCCAATCGCACGCTGTGATCATGGCATTGAAACTGATCGACGTCTTCTCCTCACTTGGTAGACTCCACTAGGTAGGGAGCGATGGCCTCCAACCTACTATGGCCTCCAACCTGAGAGGAATGGGGTAGTAGACTATTGGCTACTAATGGACATTATTTATTCATGCTTCCTTTCACCAAACTTTGACTTTAGCAACTGTTAGCACGAAACGAGGATGGCATCAGCGGGTGATAAACATCAGGTTCGAGGCGTTCCAGAGTTCACAAAGTTGCGATCGGGGCCTCTAAATGACGTAAGAACCTGCTATAGTTTCCAGCCATCAAATACAATTCTCATGGCAAACTGAACTGGAATGTAAAACAATGCAATTATGTAACTGAAGTTCAAGAACGGTTTTCTTAGCGCTTCGCATCGCTTCGCGCTCTCTTTGCTCTTTCGTTGTCCCACCTGTTGAAAATCAAAGAACTGCTTGGCTCGTCTCCATTGATCGGCACGAGCACACACGGAGATCAAAGAGTTGAAGGAGATCACATCGGGACGACAGCTCAGTTGGCCGCTCCTAGGATGGAGGCCGTGGCCATCGCAGGTTAGAGGCGATTCTTGTCAGGTTGGATGGCATCACTAGTAGGTTGGAGGCTATCCTGTTCGGCAATCGCTACTAGGAGCAAGAAGCTAGGACCTAGGAAGTTGGAGGCCATCTCTCCTCTTGGAGATCTCGGGAGTTGATTGGCTCGTCGCTGTCGCTGCGAGTGTGCTCAACGCGCTCCGCCAAAGGGTGACTCTTTCAGAAGCACTCAAGGCACTGTTCAAAGTGAAGACATCGCAAAGGTCCAACACCTCGTCAAACGAATCAAAATAGGATCCACATTTTAGAATAACATTAAGGATACTGTGTACTCGCTTTTTCATTGTTTGCGTCTTTTGATATCTTTTGTTGTTCTCTTTATGCCGATGGCGATGGGAGCTGGAAGAATAATTTGCACTAGGAAGCCGGAATGGAGGACTTCCCCTATGAGTTTGTCCAGTGTGGCTAAGATAACACTGCAGGCCGTTTTGTGGCTCGCTGTCATCCGGTTATGCACGAAGAAAATAACAACTCCGTCCATTGGTGCCGGCGGACGAGTCATGTTCGTGTGTTGGAGCCCCTAGTAGCTTCTTGTTACTGCTAGTAAGGCACTTGATCCTAGAAGCGATGCACTTATTCCTAGTAGCTTCTTGTTTCTAATAGCTTCTTGTTACTAGTAAGAATGTTCCTAGTAGCGATGCCAGGAGCCCCTAGTAGCGTCCTTGCTCCTTACAAGTTCTTGTCTTCTTGTCTTTTTCTGCTTTTCTTTTCAACACTGTATCAACAATCATCAACAATCAGAAGCTATTAGTAACAATAGCATCGCTACTAGTAACAAGTGCCTTATTAGTAGTAACAATGTTTGCTATTAGAAACAAGTGCCTTACTACTAGGAGCAAGAAGCTACTAGGGGCCCCTGGCCTTACTAGTAGTAACAAGAAGCTATTAGAAAAAAGAAGCTATTAGGAACAAGTGCATCGCTTCTAGTAACAAGTGCCTTACTAGTCAGAGTGTGCCCCGGGCGGGTGGAACAGTTCCAGTTCCAGTTCCAGTCCCACGTCGTCCAACACAGGAGACTGAGGAGGAGGGAGGGGAGTTCCAGTTCCAGTTCCACTTCCAGTTCCAGTGGGGTACACTATGTTACTAGTAGTAACAAGAAGCTATTAGTTAGTTATTAGGTGGAGGCCATCGCTCTCTCGCTCTTTCGCTCTCGCTCTCCGTCCTTGGCCAAGTGAAAGGCCTGGAAGGCCTGTGGCCATTTCTCGCTCTTTCCACAGGAGGACAAGGCCGTGTTCAGCGTAACCGCATCGAAGGACATACGTCGTTCCAGACAGCCCATGCACTTCATGCGGCCCTCCATGCATTCCATGGTCAAAGACAAAGCCGTTTCCCAAACGTGGCCTTTCTCACATGCACCGATGGCACTGTTATAGGAATAGATGTCGGCACTCCTTCCCGCTTCCGTCCTTTCCCTTTTCAGCTTACCCAGTAAAGCCAAAGCCACCCGCCATTCGGACGTCTTTCCACATGTGCTGATTGTGTGATTGAAGGCCACCAGGTTGGGGTGCAGCCTGGAGGCCATCACTAGTTTTGGAGGCCAAAAACAAGAAAGAAAGGTCTAAGGTCTTAGTTTGCTAGTAGGTTGAAGGCCAGCGATACTAGTAACATCTAGTAACAGTAAAGCTACTAGTATGTCTTTGAATCTTTCTAGCAACTAGAAGCTACTATGTGGAGGCCATTGCTCGTAGGTTGCAGGCCATTCCTATCAATCACGGTTGAATGCATGTTTTAACTTTATATTTGAAGAAAAAGCTGTTAGATTGGAGGCGGTGCAGCCGTAAGCAGAATTGCCATCTGGAGATGGTGCAGCCCAGCCGAGTCTCGTCACGAGTGCTTGGCACAGCCGCCATGGCCAAGCGGCTTCAAGCGGTGGAATTCTAAGGTCACATTGTGAACAATTCTACGGAAGAAGCAAAGCATAGCAAAGCCAAAGACACGTTCAGATTTGCAAAATGCTGCAACATGCTTTTGACTCCCAAACGTTCCCGTGTTCAAGAAGAACTGAATACATCATTGCACCGGCCTTGTCGTGATTGCTGCAAGCTCTCCAAATCTTGTCCATATTCTTTCGGTCTTTGGGGTCGTAGATGAAGACCTCAAAGTAGGTGCAGCGGCGTGGCCTTCGGATTAGGCCAGCGAGATAGCAAAGCTACTGGCAACTCAGGAGCAAGATATATTTGTGCCCCGCAGCAGCACCAGCACCCGGCGCACCCACTCGCACCCAGTCCCCAAAAAGCCTCTTCTACGAAAAACTGAGCAGAAGTCACCGACTTACGTCGTCAAGTTCACCAAGTGCGCTTTTGCTCGCTACTACTAGAAGCAGGGGCATCGCTACTTGGAGCAAGGACGCTAGTAGTAGCTCCTGGCCTTACTACTAGTAACAAGATGCTACTAGGAACAAGGGCATCGCTACTAGTAACAAAAGCCATTATTCCTAAATATTCCTAATTAACAAGTGCACTGCTACCAAATTCCTTTCTTCCTCATCGTCTTCATGCGTCTTACATGCAACTGCAATCCAGGTGAACTTTGCCTCAAGTTCGCCAAGTGCGCTTTGTGTTCAAATTTGCCTATTCTTTTCTTTCTGCCTTTCACCTAATAGCAACGGCCTCCAAGCTACTAGCGATGGCTTTTGCTCTTACAGCATAAGCCTGAATTTCCAATTTATAAAAGTAGACGCCTACGTAGTTAAGGGAGAAGTTCGCTAGGCTACGAGCTACTGGTTGCCTAGAAACTGGACGCAGGATAGCTCACGACGTACTATTCCTTTGGGAAACTTGTATCAGGAGTCGATCGTCGACTGAGTCGAAGACCTCGCCCTTGTTGTTGAAAACGTTGAGCTTCTGGCGCTCCTTCTTGCGAGGCTCAAGCAAATCGTAGACTTCGTCCATGTAGACCTCCACCATAGCTATCTCCACCTGCGAAACACGCAGGTTTGCATCGTTCGTCCTTCCCAAGGCTTAGACGCTTCGTGACGCTTAGACGTTCGGAATGCAGCAAAGTGACATTGTAGCGCACGTCAGGATCAGTGTTCCCATCAACCACATCAAACAGTGCCTGAAAGATGGGAAAGGGCGACGGCACATGTGGAGACCCTGAGCGCTCGTTGAAACTTGTAGCTTTGCACCCAATAGCGATGGCCTCCTAGTGGTAAGGCCCGGAGCGCCTCTATTAGCGTCCTTCCTACTAGCGTCCTTGCTCCTAGTACCCCCCCCCGCGCGCGCGCGCGCGAAAAGGTCCTAGTAGGATTTTGTTTGCTAGTAATCACAAGTGCATCGCCAGTAGTAACAAGTGCCTTACTGGTAGTTACAAGAAGCTAGCAATTACAATTCTAATTAAATGCTTATTGTTACTACTAGTAAGGCACTTGCTCCTAGTAGCGATGCCCTTTGCTACTAGTAGCGTCCTCACTGTGCAAGTCAGGCCTTCACGGTCCTGGGAATGATGCCCCAGTTAGGTGAATCACCAACTACCGAGTAGGATTTGCCACAACCAGATTGTCCATAGGCAAACCTCGTGGTGGGCCAGTGAAGGCACAAAACCTAAACAATGAAACCGTCAAGAACATGGACGAGTTATGTATATATTATATAATATAAAATTTACTTTTTGTGCATATGAGTACCAAGGAATCCTCTTTCATAGCTTTCCAGTCTCTTACAGAATCAGTCTCACAAGAAGGAAAACAAACCTCACAAAATATCACCTTCAGCAGAGAAACACAGTGCAATTGTATCCTTTAAGGGCGTTTTTCATGACAATCTCGCCCACATCTTGCCACACCATATCCTGATCAACCTTGGTTCTTGCTCTGTCAATCCACAGGTCCAGGACATGAAGACTTGAAGCAAGAAGCTACTAGTAGCAAAGGGCATCGCTACTAGTAGCAAGGACGCTACTAGCAGCAAGTGCATCGCTAGTAGTAACAAGTGCCTTACTAGTAGTAACAAGAAGCTACTAGTAGCAAAGGGCATCGCTACTAGTAGCAAGGACGCTACTAGCAGCAAGTGCATCGCTAGTAGTAACAAGTGCCTTACTAGTAGTAACAAGAAGCTACTAGTAGCAAAGGGCATCGCTATTAGTAGCAAGGACGCTACTAGGTGGAGGTCATCGCTATTAGATGCAACAAGATACTTGTTGCGCTTGGTGGGACGTGAAGACTTGCCACAAAGTTGCAGTCATTTATGCGGGTCTATGCCTAACCAGGCCCAATTGTCCGTGGTAGGTGTCAGCCGAGGATCATATTTTGAGTCGGGGCCATCAGGTATTCCTGAGGCAGCTCATGGCACCACAAGCCAGGTCAACGGTGAAGAGACACGACGACAAAACCTAGTAGCGTCCCTGCTCCTAGTAGCGATGCCCGGTTCCTAGTAGCGATGCTCTTTGCACCTAGTAGCGTCCTCTTGCTCCTAGTCGCCAAGGAACCTACTAGCGATGGCCTCCAACCTGAACCTACACAGCTGGACAACAACAGGACGGCTGTATTGAAACCTCCTTGATATTAGGTTGGAGGCCATCGCGCCCATTAATAAGTATTGGAACCTCCTCGCTAAAGCCACATCGATTGCAACCAGTCTAAACTTGCACTTGATCGCCATTCTAGTGTGATTGTCGGGTCAAGACTGCCCAGGTTGTGAAAGTGACTGATGTGTCAAAAGTTCAAGACTCATCCATACATCGATCTGAGCTTAACTGCCTTAACTCATGTGAGAGTCCGGGACTCATACTTAGGGCAACGCTTTCTTCGGAGCTAAGTGGAGCTACTAGTGGAGCTCGGTTCTGCTAAGCGGCTGAAGCCTGGTCGCTCCGGATCATCTTTCGATCCATCGCAACTCCACCAACTGCGATCAAAGGCATAGGAACGAGGCTCTGCGCTCATGTCCTCAGCTTCGGAGCCGAATGTCCAAGAACTGTAATGTCTTTTAAGATATAGGAACAAGTGCATCGCTAGTAGTAACAGGTGCCTTACTAGTAGTAACAAGAAGCTATTAGTAACAGGTGCATCGCTACTAAAGGCCATCGCTCTTAGGATGTCTTCGTAGGCCGTAGCTAGTACCAAGTAGCTACCGACAGGACGATAGCTCGCGCTAATGATGTGGTTCGATGTTTCAGGAAACTTAACATTTGGCAATGGCCTCCAACCTAACGATGGCTCATGCATAAATTCATCGGTACATATGAAGGCCATCCAGCAAAGTTCATTTTATAAGGCTCCCATTGCCGGCCTTTCGCGATTGGCTAAAAAAAACGGGTTTTCCTTTCGCACAAGTGAACAAAGAAAGCCTTATAGGGAATGTTTACCGAGACCTGCCTGAGCCTCGGTCCCAGCGGTTTGAAAACGGGAAGAACTGGCGACTGTGCAGTAACAAGAAGCTACTAGGGGCTCCTGGCGTCGCCACTAGGAGCAAGGACGCTACTAGGGGCTCCTGGCCGTACTACTAGGAGCAAGTAGCTACTAGTAACAAGAAGCTACTAGGAGCATGCAATACAGGAAGTCACTTTAACTCGACATCACAGCATCAGCCATCACGGCACACATCATCACATGACCACATGACCTGACCACCTCACACAACAATGTTATCACTGATTCACATGCACTTCCTCACATCGCAAAGACGTCTTCCCCGAGAGAAGACGCCGCCGCGGCGACCGCCATCGGTGATCCGGTTCTTCCAAGACGCGTTGGGATCATAGATCTTCGTCACTGCACAGCCGACACCTTTTTCCGCCTTGCCCTCCATCTCAACTACCTCAGCGTCGCAGTTCAGCACAAGGACATGATCAGTGAGGCCATAAATAGCTTCGAAGGGCCTTTGGCCCAATACAACTTGCCAGAAACAAGGATGATTCTCGGACGTCTACGAGCGCACGTCACGGTACGTAGAAAGTTCTCACCAAACCGGTGTAGATTGGACGCTACTAGTAGCAAGCACGCTATTAGGTGGAGGCCATCAAGTAGGTTGCAGGCCATCGCTACAAGTAACAAGAAGCTACTAGGGGCTCCTGGCCTTACTACTAGGAGCAAGGACGCAACTAGGAACGAAGGGCATCTCTACTAGGAGCATTCTTACTACTAGTAAGAAGAAGCTACTAGGGGGTTCCCTGTGTCACAAGGTGTAGATAGTTTCGCTTTGGAAAGCCAAGGAGCTCGTTGACATGTCGCTTCGCGCCCTGGTGTGCCATCTGGCCTGCAGAGTCTACCGATCTAACCGAGGCGTCTCTGATCCTTCCGTCCCAAACACGACGCCTCCCAAACTAACTGAATAGCAATGGCCTCCAACCTACTCGCTTGTTGCTCTTAGTAAGGCCAGGAGCGCCCCTAGTAGCGTCCTTGCTCCGTTCGTAGCGATGCCCTTTGCTCCGTTCGTTGCAAAGGAACCACCAACATGTGTCGCCCTCCCACGCGACGCCTCTTGACAAACATAGGCCGCAAGCGTACACAAACCTCATGAAGCAACCGAACAATCGAATCGAGCTGAACATTCATGTGACCTTCTGAAAGGAAATCGGCCAAAGCCCCTTGGCAATGTTATGTGCCCAACTGTGCCAAGAAACGATGACTCCTTGTGGAACATCATCATCATCCGCCATGGCTAGGGTGGGACAGCTATCGAAATTGTCTTACCATGCAAGTAGCATTTGTGAACACTCTAGACACTCCGGCGGCTTTGCACTGGAAGTGATTTCAAGTCGACGTTGATCCACTCTGTGCGCTTGGTTCGCCCTGAGCCAACCCGCTGTTTGACCAGCGCGACATGAGCAAATGGAATGTAACAGATGTACGAGAGGCGTCTGATCTTCAGGGAATGCTGAATTTCCTGTGCCCTCTGAAAGGCACCACCCTCAATGTGCATCACAAAGTCTGTATGAAAGGAGCTCTCAAAGGAGCTGAGCTACACGAAGCTACTAATAACAAGAAGCTACTAGGGGCTCCTGGCCTTACTGCTAGGAGCAAGGACGCTACTAGGGGCTCCTGGCACCGCTACGAACGGAGCATTCTTACTATAGCAAGAAGCTACTAGGAACAAGAAGCTATTAGAAACAAGTGCATCGCTAGTAGTAACAAGTGCCTTACTAGTAGTAACAAGAAGCTATTAGCCTATTGTTTCTAATAGCAAACATTGTTACTAGTAGTAAGGCACTTGTTACTACTAGCGTGGCACTTGTTACTAGTAGTAAGGCACTTGTTACTACTAGCGTGGCACTTGTTACTAGTAGTAACAAGTTTGTTACTGTGATTGGTCACCGAGACTTGGCACAACTCCGTCACTGTCGACTCTCGACTGCCTTCTTCGAATGCGATGTGACGCTGTCCACCTCAGCCGATCCGACAGCTCTCTACGGGACGCTATCAGGTTGAAGGCCATCGCTACAGTGTTTTTAGCTTCTACATGACCTCATTCGGCTCGCGCATCCCATTTCCAACCTGATAGCGATGGCCTCCAAACTCATTGAACTAAATGTTCAAGAAAAAACAAAGTTCTTTTGAGTTGCTAGTAGCAATGGCCTCCAACCAGATAGCGATGGCCTCCAACCAAATAGCGAAACAGAATCGCCACTGAATCACAATGAATCTAATCATGCCTTGATTGTTTTGAACCCCTCCTACAATGCGTCTCACCATCTGTAGCTCCCCAAGCACTTCCCCAAGCCACTTTTTCAGTGAGTAGGTTTCGTCTGGAGAGTGTGATCCAAATCAACAGGCCAGGATCAGGTCAGAAACAACAAACAACTGTGCCATGACATTTGATAGCTGTGTCCAATGCTGTGTTTGTGACTTATGGACGCAGTCGTGATGCTCTCAAAGAATCGCCCTCTCCTCAAGATCCATCAACTTCCCCAGGGGCCCCTAGTAGCGTCCTTGCTCCTAGTAAGTTACAAACGTGCAAAACGATTCGGATTCCACACTTGCCGGCCAGAAGCACAATACTTTCAGAAGTTCAGCTTCCAGATTGGAGCCATCGATACCTGCATAAACTGCCGGCTGGAAATGCATGTTAACACTCCGAAAAATCACAAGAAACGTCGACGTTGAAGAAAAATGGTTAGTTTTTGGGCTTGCTCGAACAAAACAAACAATTGGCGCATGAACATGCTGCTTTATTTTGCTCTGTTTAGTGCTTTCATGCGCATTCTTGTTGAAAGGAGTCCAAGACTCCAAACCCTCGGCCTAAGAAACCTTCTCCTACAAATCCAATGGATAGCCTCCAACCAAACAGCGGTGACTTCCAACCTACAAGCGATGGCCTCCAATCTAATAGCGATGGCCTGGAGACCTAATAGCAATGGCCTCCAACTTAATAGCAATGTCTCCTATCCATGTTCCAAATTGAACTGCAACCATGAAGCCAAGCATAATGGCAATGCGCATGTGCACTTGACGATTGTTTGAGGCGTTCCCATGATTGCCGACACAAAGAAGGCCAAAAGCCAGTCACTTTATAGCAGTGTCACAAGACATCAAGTTTCTGCAATGCCTGTGGTGTGTTCCAACTTGTGTCCGGAACAACCAAAATGATCGCAATGCCATCACTCAACGCTAAATAAATCTTGGTGCAATCGGATAAGCGTTCCAAAGTGCTAATAGCGATGGCCTCCAACTTACTAGCCTTCTTGTTACTAGGAAGAATGCGCCTAGCAGCGATGCCAGGAGCCCCTAGTAGCGTTCCAAAGTGCCAACCTAATAGCAATGGCCTCTACAAGTTTCAGGGCAAGCTTCTAGAGGACACCGTTTTGACCGGTCTAGATGACTTCTCCACAGAGGGCCGCAACGTGCCTCGGTTTGTGCTCTTTGAAGCTGAACTTTTTGTCACCAGGGTGCTGTATGCCTGGGGTTCTCCTGAATGCCCTTTGCTCCTAGTAGCGTCCGATCGCTACTAGTAGGGATGCCAGGAGCCCCTAGTTGCGTCCTTGCTCCTAGTAGCGATGCCCTTTGCTCCTAGAAGCTTCTATTTTCTGCCTCCGGCCTGATGCACTTATTCCATGTCAGTGGGTATGTAACATCAGTCGGCCCAATCGGATAGTTCTTTTGTGATGGGGTGTTTGGGCTGCTGTCGGCGGGATGCATGGGATAACAATGGGATGATGGGTGGGTGGAGATTTGGTGTGAATTGCATGGCGCAGTTGGGTGGAAAACTCGATGTCGCATTAAAGTGAATAGTAAATTAGGTTCCTTAAGCTATTGGGTTGAAGGCCATCCCTAATAAATAGCACATATCTTTTTGCATGAATTTACGTTCAATTTTTCCGTGCACCGAGTCAGACGGACGTAAATCGTCATGATCGGTTTTTGGTTCCCACAGGAGCCCATTGCTACAAGCTGCTGCCCAAACGCGGCCGTCGCAAGAGCCTCTTCCCGTGCGCTTTGCTCTACCAGGCTACCTCCGTTGCGACTCAACAAATGCGAGATAATTCGATGTGGCTTTACTCCTAATTAGTAGCGACGCACTTGTTACTAGTATTTCATGACTGCGCCGGGGCGGGAACGGCACCCGAATTCGCTGGTTACTCAAATGGGGTCCATCTTTGAGATCCGTGCCTGAATATTCTGAGGATCATTCGACGCACCGGTTGGTTAAAAGGTTTGAGGCCGGAACTAGTAACAAGTGCATCGCTACTAGAACAAGTGCATGACTAGTAATTACAGTAGCAAAGCCTCCACCCTAGTAGCGATGGCCTCCACCTAGCGTCCTTGCTACTAGTAGCAAATAGCTACATGGAACCAAATTAGTTTCAGTTTACTTTGCAGTTTGAAATGTGCAGCATGAAAGAATGCAGTGATACGCAGCCTTCCCAAAGGCTCAGGGCACGTCATCGCAACGAGGTATGACACGAGGCTGAAATGGCACTGCAAGCCAAAACAGATCAAAGAGGAACAGTTGGGATAAGCAGTACCATGTGGCATGTGGGGGAAGAAACTTGAAGAAACTAAATTCTTCAATGTTCACCCTACATATGCAAATAGAAGCTACTAGGATCAAAGGTCATCGCTACTAGGAGCAAAGGCCATCGCTAAACACACGACCAGGCCATCGGGGCACGCCTTTCCGATCACGTGGATCACTAATTTATGTTTCTACTAGCTTCTTGTTACTAGTAGCGAGGCATCTGTTACTAGTAGCATGGCACTTGTTCCTACTAGCTTCTTGTTACTACTGGTAAGGCACTTGTTTCTAATAGTTTCTTGTTTCTACTAGCTTCTTGCACGCATTTCCGATCACATGTTGTCACCAATGTATACTCTCGGTATCTGTACACCTCATAGGGCCATGTCTGCAATTCAGCCCAAGCATGAGCAACCAAAGAGCCTTGGTGCCAACTAAATAGAACTTCACAAATTTGCACGGCATGGATCACAGCAAGCGATTCTGGCACTGCGCCCGTTGCACAATGCGGCTCACCTGCTCTCCACTGATGAGATCCGTCTTCAACAAGTTGGTCTTCGCGGACGTAGGTGCACTAAGCCCACTAAGCACAGGAGGCGCAGAGGCACCAGCATAGCCTCTGGGCATGCTTGGGCCTGGTAGTCGCGCTGACCTCAAGCAAGAGGGTAAGATTTCTGCTGAAGGCACTGTGGCGGCAAATTTGCCGAGTTCTTCTTTCACTTTGGCCAGGGACTTCTTCTCCAAGACATTGCCCCAGCAAGGCTTGGTGGTATTTGTCATTCGCCCATCGGTTTCCATTTGCACCGAGGTAAGACCGCGAGCTTGCAAACTAGCCACAGCTGCCGTCACGGATGCTTCAGTGCTGATGTTGTGACCCGCACTCCTGGCTTCAGTTTGCACTTTCAAGACTTCCTCTTCAACTTGTCGTTGAAGTTTTGAAAGTCCGATCTCTTCAGCACTTCCATTGATGATCACATCTGCAAGCATGGCAGCTGAACTTAACGCAACGGCTTGCCCACCCGTCACTTCGGCCACATTGCAAAGGAAATCTCGAGCAAAATGGTAAGCTCCGAGTGCGGGCTCACAGCCTACTGTGTAGACCGTGATGCCAAGCGTGGCCATGTCCCGCAAAATCTCCAAAGGATCTCGCCCATCAGGATCTCCATTGGGAAATCCATCTCCGCTGGGTTCCAAGCCATGGGGCGGTGCATCTGCGATCAATACACAAATCTTTGTGGCATTCGGTCTCCACGGCAATGATAAGGCTTCAAAAAGAGCAGCTGTCACAGCTTCGGGCCCATCCCCTCCACCGTTGGCCCTCATTGTGTCTACATATTGCCGCATTGTTTCCAGATTCTCGGTGAATGGATGACACTGAGTAACGAAGGTGCTATCTTGGGGCGGGTGATCTCTGTAGCTGATCAAGCCGAAGCGCACCTTTGCTCCATGGCCCGAAATCTTCGTCACAATGGATTGAATGTTCTCTTGAGCTGCCTTGATGTACTGTCCCATTGAGCCCGTGCAATCACAAATGAAACACAAATCCAGCTCTGCATCAACAGCCAATCCAGTCTGCCCATGACCGGTTTCGTCCACCTCTTTCTCAATCATGATCCAGTCGGATGACTCAGGCGTTGCCATGGCGAAAGAAGGGATTCCAAACTACAAGAACGAGGAACTACCACGTGCGGTTGGAGATGGATTGAG